TCCGGCGCTTCGACGATTTTGGCATCGAATGACCGTCGCTCGCCCTCCCCACGTCTTCCTTAATCGAAGACAGTAGGCGGTTACGCGAAGTAGCTTACTCCATTTGGAAAATCGGAATACAAAATCCCATTCCTTTTCCGGAGTTGCTACGAGGGTATGCGATACGCGTTTACCCTCCTCGGTCTCGATCGAAACAGGCGTTTTTGGCCAATTTTCTCTCGTTTTCCGAAGCCACGTCGGGCCTGAAATCCAGAGCTCTGACTGAAGGAGTTCCGCCGCGTCGACCCCACGCGAATTTAAATCCGCAGGGTTCGATCGCGTGGGAACATGATTCCATTCAGCGTTCGGGAGAATCGTCTGGATTTTCGACACGCGGTTGGCGATTACAACCTTCCATGTCGAGGCGTGCTTCCTTAACCAAGCTAGTGCAATCGTGGAATCTGTCCAGCAGATTATGCGGTCCACCTTTATTGAGAGGGACCGCTTCACGTGCAACACCAGCTCGGAAAGGAGTACAGCCCCGTTCAACTCCAGAACGGGGATGGACTGCGTTTTGATCGGAGCGACTCGCGTTTTTGCCATTAGCAACGTCGTAAAAACTTCGTTGCTTATCGTCGTCACGCGTAAATACGTGACGGCCGAATAGGCCGCGAGCGAGGCGTCGCAGAAACCATGCAATTCTATTGACACCGTATCAGCTCCGTACGTATCCATCTGGGAATTTTTAATTCCTTTAAGCTGCTCCAATCCGTACAAAACGCGTTCCACGTTTTTTGCGTATTCGCGGAGATTTGATCGTCCCACTGGATTTTCTCCAGCCACTGAGACTGCATCAAAATCTTTGCGCGAATTACAACCGGCGATAGCCAGCCGAGCGGATCGAAGAGCTTGGCAATCTCCGAAAACAAATTTCTTTTTGTCATCGGTGTTGCCGACGGTTGGAACCGTTGGAGATTGAAATAGAAATAATCTCCAGACGGTATCCATCGTAAACCGAGCACCTTTAGTTCGGAGTCATCGAACAAAGTGAGGTCTACTGCGTGGGAGTGAGAGCTGTGGGGGATATTTCGCAATAATTGTGGCGAATTTCCGGCCCACTTTCTCAGCTGAAACCCACCTCCTTGCAGGAGCTCGCATACTTGCGTACGGATTTTCTCCAGCAAGGATTTATCTGGTGCTCCCATGAATACATCGTCGACGTAAATGTCCTTCTCGAGGATCGGAGCGGCAAGCGGAAATTTCTTTCCGTCCTGCTCCTTTAACTCGAGAAGGGTACGCATCGACAGGTATGGGGCGCACGCCGTTCCGTATGTGACGGTATTTAATTCGAACGCTGTCAGCTGTTCGTTTTCGGGTGCACTCCATACAATGCATTGGAAACGACGATCCTCTGGGGCGACGAGAATCTGTCGAAACATCTTCTCGATATCGGCCACCAGCACGTATTCGTACAAACGCCATCTCGTTAATACCGAGGTAATGTCGTTTTGTAATTTTGGACCTACGTGAAGGATGTCGTTTAGGGAGCGTCCACCTGCCGTTCTGCTGGTCGCATTGAATACGACCCGCAGTTTGGTGGTCGCGCTGTCCGTACGAATGACCGCTCGGTGCGGAATATAGAGTCTAGTTTGGTCAATGGGCTTTATGCGCGTCATATGACCTAACGACTCATACTCCGCTAGAAACTCTGCGTATTCTTTACCGAGGGTCGGGTTCGTGTCCAGTTTCCTCCTCAGCCTTGTGAGAGCAGAGAGCGCGATGTGGAATGAATTTCCCAACGCCTCCTCCGGTCTCGGGTAATTGAGGGGTAGTCGGACTACAAACCGACCTGTTTCGTTACGGGTAACGGTTTTTTGGAAGAATTCTTCGCATTCCTCCTCTGCTTTAGTGCGCATGGAGGTTGCGGGAATTTCTTCCATTTCCCAGAACTTTCGAACCGCTTGATCCAGCGTTTCGAGTACGGTGCAGTGCAGTGTCCGCACCGTGTTCTGAGCGCCGCCCCCTGCTTCTATCGGCCCGGATATTACCCAGCCGAATGCAGTTTCTTGGGCGATGGGACCTGCGTCGGTTCCGCGACGGAAACCGGATCGCATAATCTGCGCATACAGGTCCGCGCCGATCAAAACTTCAATGGTTTGATCAGACGTGGGGTCGGGGTCGGCGAGCGGTAGGTCATGGAACGCTTTGTTACCGAGCGTTCCTACCGATGGAGTCGCGTACGTCGTGATTTGAGACACGACATACGCATCTACCTCACACATCGGTTTCCTACCGTCTCTTTCGCCTAAACTCAGTCCGACACTGTATTTGATCGATTGGGTTCGGTCACCCCCCAAGCCCGTCACCGTGGCTGGGGTTTTCCTCCGCGCGAGCTTAAGGTCATTGACCAAGTTCGCGGCTATGAAGGAAGTTTCCGATCCCTGATCAAGTAGCGCGCGCGCGATTCGCGACGCACCATTCTTGCCGAATACTCGTACTCGAGCTGTCGCTAAAAGCACTGGCCTCGGTGCGCCTGTACCGAGAGCGGTACAATGCGATGTCGAGGCGGGTGTCGTTTTAGCACTCGCCGAGTGATTGGCCTTCGGCCTCGGTTTCGTAGGCCGGCGGGATGGGGCGTTTGAAAGCCTCTCCTCACGGTTGCCGAACTCAGGTTTTGGTATCGGCTGATTCCGCTGAGGTTCCCGTTCTTGGTCGAAGTGCAGCAGGGGATGATGCATCCCGCCGCACTTCGTACATGCCGTGGAACTCCTGCATTTCGTCACCGTGTGGGTGGTGCCCAAGCATTGTAAGCACCACCGACGGTGTCTAACATATTGACTGCGCATTTTTGCAGTCAATAGCCCGAAATGGTTGCAGTTCGTCAAACCGTGCGGCCCGTTACAGAACCCGCACGGTTTCGTGGCCGGTTTTCCAACATGCCTAACGTTGTCTGAATCCGTTTCCCTTGGCTTTTCAGCCTGGACGTGTTCCATGACAACGTTGTGGCTTCTCACGTTTCTCGAAGCGGTGCCGTTATCGCGCACCGAGCTTCGATTGTGCGTGGTTTTTGTTGGAAGCCCCAGCGCGGCTTTTCTGCGCTCCTCGTTCATTGAGAGCAAGGCACGTGACCGTTTGTCAACGAACTTCCTTACGTCCTCGAACGTAGGATATTCGGACGAGAGGTCTAGCGTTTTTTGCCATTCCAGCTCCATTTCGGGGGTGAAATGTTGCTTCACCCAATGAGCGAGGAGCCAATCTCGTTGCTGTTCCGGTGTACCCTTGGTATCCAGAACAGCAATGGCTTGGGTGCAACCCACGGTCACTTGTTGCATGCTGGTCAAGTCATTCATATCAATAGGCTTCAGATATAAAAGCTTGTCCAACAGCTTTCCAGTGACTAAGCGTGGTAGGCCGAATTCGTTCTTCAGCCTCGCCCACGCTTCCGTGAAGTTGCGACCCACTACTGGAAGGGAAGCAACGGTTGCAGCAGCCGGCCCCTCAAGGCAGGCGTTTAAAAAATACAACCGTTGGATATCTCCCAGTGCAGCATTATTAATTACCCCGGTGGTAAACAGATCCTCGAAATGTTCCCATTCACGAGGATCACCACCGAATTTGGGTATTCGCTGCTTGGGGAGCTCGATCGGTACGTTGCAATGCTCGACCGACACCGCTGCGGCTTTGTCAGCGGTAAGTCGGTCAATTTCCGTGCTTACGAAATCCACGAAATCTTGGAAATCGTTCTCGGCGGTCAAGATAACATTCTGTTTAAAGAAATCATGACTCTGCCTTTGCGCCGGTTTTAGAAGCTTGCGGGCCTCTGAGTACCGATCGTTTATCTCCTTCCATAAAGTTTTGGCATATTCGAGCTTTTCCTCGAGAAGCCTCACCGAGTAATTCGCTCTGCCTGTTTTTTTCAGGTTAGTACCCAACTTGCTAAGGCGGTGGTGAATTTCGCACATAGTTTCTATGTGCTCATCAACCTCCGTCCACGTGGATTCTTTAGCCACGGCCATTGTTGGGTTTATCGAGGATTAATCAGCTCGAACTAACCTCTTACGTGGATATTCGTCACGTGTAAGAGTGTGTACCTTTCCCTATTCCACTCAACCTCGTGTATATCCGGCTCGAAGGACCTTTTGTTAAAATAGGTGCGAGTTATTGTCGCTCTCACCCTTTAACGAGGTGTCCGAATTACGAGGGAGTGGGAATGTGTGGGAAAGTGAATGGTACACTTGTAACTTTCTTTCGCCTAGTCAAGCGACTAGGCCGTTTATTTAAAAATTGAAAATTAAAATAAAAACCCAAAATTAAATAAACAAAAAAAGAAAGAAATTTATATTTTAAAAAAAAACCACCACCAAAAGAAAACCGGGCCGTGCCTCAGGCCACTACGGCTCTCGTCTCGGTCTTCTGCAACAAAAGAAACCGAAATTTGGTTGAAAATAGGTGACAACGCTCGTCGCGTTGTCTGACTCGCGTCAATCCACACGCTCCTGTCTCTGTTTATGATAAACAGGAGCGGGATTCCTTCACAGCGATACGCAACTGTGTTAGTGGACTGTATACTTAAACGTTTCTCGTGTGATCGAGAAACGTTCGACTGATTAAACGTTTCTCGTGTGATCGAGAAACGTTCGACTGCAGTTCTGGAAAATTTTTATAACAGCAGATGGGGAAGACAAGATTTGAGCCTCGATCTTCCCACTGCTGCTAGCTTGAATTTTGGCTGGAGGTGACAACAGTTGGAGGTTGTAAGTCTCCAAAATTGTCCACTCCGTGATTCCGTGTCGTTTCCTGGTCCGTACGGGACCGGTGTGATGCAAGCCCTTAACTGCGCTAGAAGCGTCTGAAGGTTAAGGTGCTTACACCACGGCGCCCTTTTGAACGTCGCTCTACACCGAGTGTCCGTACACACTGGTGATGAGTGACCGACGTTCGAGCTAATCGAATTCAGCCGAGAGCACCCAGGGAATGCGCCGAATAAAGGCCCCTATGGGGGTGGTACTCAAACTGAGATTTCGACCCTCGGAAACGACAATCCCACTCAGGGTATACGCCAAAAGGCCCCTATCCGAGTGTTTGAATCGCACAAAAGTTCAAGGAAAACCGAGAAGTTTTTCTCGGTTCTCGTTGCACGACAGCTGATTACAGCGGTACGTGCCTTCCACGCAACGGTGGCGACAATCGAACACTATTTAAATGTTACGACGATTGTTATCAGCCACCGGTTGTTAATGTGGGAAATCGCTTTTGATTTGAAACAATCGACACAACGGTGGCGATAATCGAACACTATTGAAGTGCACACACGATTATGATCAGCCACCGGTTGTTCACTGTAAATTGTTTCAATACTGCGTTTTTCCAGAACGGTTCTGTACACACAACGATCACTAAACTCACGAAACCGTGAGGTACGAAATCCGACTAGGTTAATTCTTTCGAATTTACCACAGTCTTAATCTCGTTCCGTTTCGGTTCTGTGGTGTAACTACACGATTAAACGAATTTAATTTCGCGTATATCGTGATCGCGGTGTTGGACTAGGTCGGCTTGGAAGAAGCGAACTCGTCGAGAACCAGATAGCAAGTGATTTTCGAGACAGACCCTCTTATCCGCGATCGCGAGAGGGGAAATTTGTCTGTCTCGTATTAATTTTGAATCCTCTCTGTTATTTCGGCGTAGTAACACCGGTTCTCATGGAACCGTTACTGGGCCGATCGCGTGACTATTATCGAAGGTAAATTTGGATTTTTTCTACACGGTATTGCTCCCGAAGCAGGTTACGACGCAGAGAAGGCTCTGGAATGTCGCGAACACTGAGGACAACACCGTATAAGAAATGTCCCCTTTTTTCAATAGATCACGCGAGAATTTAACCGCCGTTTCTTAATAACGAATTAACGCGTTATTTAAACAAAGAGCGTTCACGATAGCCAAAGTCTCGAGTTCATACGAATGGTATCGTGACTCCTCCGGAGTCGTACGCCGACTAAAATAGGCTATCACCCGCAAATCACCATTCACCCGCTGAAACAGTATGGCACCGTACCCGATTGAACTCGCGTCTGTATGAAGCTCCGTTTCACGTATCGGATCAAAAACAATCAACAACGGCTGTGAGCTGAGGTTACCCAAAATATATTGCCGAGCACTCTCTTGCTCCTGGCCCCACTGCCATGGTTGATCCTTTCTTAATAGCCTCGTTATGGCAGAGGCACGCGTAGCAAATTCCGGTACAAACTTGCGAAAATAGCTCGCCAGGCCCATAAACTGGCGGACCTGACGCACGTTCGTGGGGACAGGTGCCTCGAGCAGCGCTTTAAGCTTCCCTTTTCCGGGCCGAATACCGTCGGCTGAAACTTCCCGTCCCAAATACTCTACCGTCGTTTCAAAAAATTTACATTTCCCCAGATTTAAAGTGAAACCCGCTTCTGACAAAGCATTCAGTACTCGGTCTAACTTTCCCAGCCCTTCCTCAATAGTCTCCGAGGGAATAAGTATATCGTCCATATAAACAAGGGCAACTGAATTCCTCAACATGCCTAACGCCTTGTTAATTGCCCTTTGAAACACAGCCGGTGCATTCGATAACCCGAATGGCATTCTAAGGTACTCGTAGTGACCATCCGGGGTCACGAACGCAGTTTTTTCTATCGATTCGGCAGCTATTGGGATTTGGTGAAATCCTGATTCCATATCTAAGTTAATAAAATATTTACCCTTACCTAACGATCGAGCTGGTCGTCAATCAACGGTAAAGGGTAACGGTCCCTGATCGTTATTCTGTTTAATGCGCGATAGTCCACACACATACGGTCGCTTCCGTTTTTCTTTTTAACTAAAATGATCGGACTCGCGTATGGGGACGTACTCTCGCGTATAATATTTTTACTTAGTAAATCATCCACGATGGCACATACCTTCTCACGCTCCACGAGGGACAGGCGATACGAGCGGTAACTTATTACCTGGTCGGTTTTTGTACAAATTGTCATTTCCCCAGTCGTCACACATCGGGTACAATCAGTCGGAGCTATCATGTGCTGATACTTCTCTATCAGCGTGTCCAAGGCACTCCGATCCCCGTCGCTGCCGCTGCTGACGGAGTAACACCGTGGTGCTGTCTTCCTCTCTCCCGACGAGGGTGCTCCCCTGACCCGTTGCAAGCTCGTTCCTTCCGCATCGGTCACCATCCGCAGGTTTCCAGCTTCCAGGACGTTTCTCCCCACAATAGCGTCGTAGGCCAGATCGCTGTCCGCCACCACTAGAATTCCCGAGGCCCCTCACCACCGTAGTGTACGGGACAATCTTGCAATTTGCCCTTAGTGCTACGCCTTCTTGAATCAGGGAACAGTCCGCACCCGTGTCCAACAAAGACGGCACCAACACTCCTTGTATCAACACGGGGGTCGTGCTGCAATCCGTGACGCTGCAGGTATTTGCTTCCGCCCTCTTGCGTCCCTGCCCCTGCTGCGATTGAGTGCGCTGTTTTGCCCAACAATTGGATTCTTCGTGCCCCCTTTTTGAACAAAAGGCGCACACTTGTCGTTTATTAATGTTCTCCTTCTGCTCCGGCTTCCGCTTCTTCGGGCAGTTAAGCTGCAGGTGTCCCACCTCGTCACAGGTGTAACAGCGTTTCCTGGGCTGCCGTTGCTTGGTGGGAAACTCTTTGCGTTGTTCCTCGGAAGTTTCCTTTTCAGCTGTGGGCTTCACGTACTGCGTTAAACCCACTATCAATTCGGCCGTCGTTTTATATTGCCTATTCAGTAACGATTGCCGTATATTTTGATCGTCCACCGCCCCTATAATGAGTTCGATCAACTCTTCCGCCCGGAACCCAACCCGAGTTTGCTCTAGGTAGGATAGTTTCGTACGCGCATATTCGGCATACGTTTTCACCGAGTCACTCGAATATGTAACCGCCCGGGACAATCGCTCATGCAAATTCTTCCTTGTCACGAACACGGAACACAAGTCCTCACAAAACTTCTCCCACGTACGAGGTTGTCCCTTCCAATCCTGATACCACAACTTTGCGGCCCCCCTCAGAGCATGCGTGGCCAGGTTCAACCGCACTTGAGCCGAACAGGTCTTCGTAATATCTTCCACCACCTTACACCAACTGTTGGCATCTTCGCCGATATCACTACCGTTAAATTCTGGTATAACACCCGTCGACAAAGGGATGGTCGGATTCGTGGGGGTCGCGGAACAGGTCGCGACGCTCTCCCCAATTTTCATTAGTACCTGTCGAACGAGTTCGTCCAGAGCAGGCGATGGTACACCCGCTTCCATCGTAAAATTTACTTAATGTGCCGAACACACAAAAAAACGTCACACGCACCACCAGTGAAACACTGAACAACTACTCTTAACCGTAACAAAGAGGCGTCGAATCCCACTTCTGATATTGGAGTATATGTAGGGAATTGAGTGAAACAACGAACAGCAAACTGCGAACTGCCATTTTTCCGTCTTCTTTTCCGTCACACCCCGCGAGACATCTGTTTTCACCGCTTCGCCATTATTCCAAAACGCCTATACTCGCTCGCGCACATCGCTCGCTCATTCTCTCTCTCTCACACACACTCTCTCTCACTCACCCCTACACTCGGCCCAAGTCTGATGACAGACTTATGGTTCCGGTATCGATACCTACAATACTCTTGAGAATCTAGTCAAAGCCCCAAATGCATTGACCCTGACACGTGCCACCCCTTAAAAAGGGATTGACACTAACATGCATATAAATCAAAGAAAAAACACAGAGTTAGGTTAATTCTTTTTAGTAATTACAACTATTAGGTTTATAGTTTGAGAATATTATAAATTTATTTATACTAATTTATTACAAAATAAAAAAGAATAATAAAATGCACATTAATGGCAGTTTTTAATGGAACAAAAGTATTGGCACGCTTACAAATAGATGGTATATTATTATGTATTTTATATAATTTAATATTTCGTGTGTAATCCCTTATTGTTTATAACGGCTTTCAATCTATTT